GTCGGGGCACTCTGCCCTAAAGCCCCGCCTGGTGGAGGGCTGCAGTGATGGGTGGCTTTCTACAACTTTCTCCCATCTCCCGACTGCATCTCTGGAGCTCAGCCACAGTCATCTTTGGGTTCTTCTGTACCTCTCTCACCGAGGCTCTTCTCCCCCGATAGCTCAGTTTGGCCGGATGGCCAGCTCTAGGAAGGGTTCTGGTTGTCCCAAACGTCTTCCATTTAAGGATTATGGAGGCCACTGTGCTCTTAGGAACCTTAAGTGCAGCAGAAATTTTTTTGTAACCTTGGCCAGATCTGTGCCTTGCCACAATTCTGTCTCTGAGCTCTTCAGGCAGTTCCTTTGACCTCATGATTCTCATTTGCTCTGACATGCACTGTGAGCTGTAGGGTCTTATATAGACAGGTGTGTGGCTTTTCCTAATCACGTCCAATCAGTATAATCAAACACAGCTGGACTCAAATGAAGGTGTAGAACCATCTCTGGGATGATCAGAAGAAATGGACAGCACCTAAGTTAAATATATGAGTGTCACAGCAAAGGGTCTGAATACTTATGACCATGTGATATTTCAGTTTTTCTTTTTTAATAAATCTGCAAAAATGTCAAACATTCTGTGTTTTTCTGTCAATATGGGGTGCTGTGTGTACATTAATGAGGAAAAAAATGAACTTAAATGATTTTAGCATATGGCTGCAATATAACAAAGAGTGAAAAATTTAAGGGGGTCTGAATACTTTCCGTACCCACTGTACAAAGTCAGTCTCTGAGAAAAGACTTCACTTGGAGATAAGTAGCATTAAAGAACTTGTCCAAGCACAAAGTTGAACGAGCACTGACACAACACAAACAGCTTGCAGACTGCCTTACCAAAAAGGGAACACCAGCCCTTAAGGCATTGAATGATGGACAAGGGAAGCTGGACTAGAAGGAAAAAGTCATAGATAGGACTGTTCAAATGTTATTTTATGAGTCGTATTGCAGAAATGTGAGGTTATTCTTAGGGGAGATTTTTTTTTTTGCTTTTCCTCTTTCTTAAAAGAAACATTGAATTTGTTAAGTTCCGTGCATTAAGATGTATTTATGTACATGTTTATATATGAATGTTTACAGGCACATTATTCAGTTAATGTTTTAATTGTGAAAACGCAGGAAGGCCTGGGGGTGAGGGCTTCATCTAGGGCAGAATGGTGCATGGGAGAAAAGTGGACATGGCGGTGACAAAATAAAGTTCATTGTTAACCACAGAAAGTGTATTCACTTTCCTGGAAAGTCCCCACTGTCATGGTATAAAACTCATACTGGTCCTCAATGTATGTACAAGCTCCCTCTAATACTCCAATATCTGTGGCCCTGACTCTCCTGTTGTTACACTCTGACAAGCTAAACCTGGAAAAGCTTTGAAATTATTTAAATTTTACTATTAAGACAAAGTCACACAAGGAATTGAATATCCCTCCTGTCAGGGTGAGTTGATAACGATGACCTTGACCTTGGTCAAATCTGAACCCTGTTGTCGCTTTGCTTAACACTCCTCAGATTGTGATGGCTGGATGGGAACCAGTGTGGCTCCTCTGTCCACTTCAGCTAAGGATTGTGGGAGGTCTAAAGCAGAGGCAGAAACATCCTGTTGTGAGCAGCGGAGCATCACTGAGACGGTCATCAATGGCTCGATGAAAGAAACAGTAAGCCTGACTGTTGATGCCAAGACTGAGACTGCCATCTTCAAAAGGTTCGCCAAACATATTCACACACATGCACAAAAAAACCCACTACATGTTGTCTAAATGACTGAATGTTAGTAGCAGCAGTTTCAGTGCTAAAGTTGTGGTCCTGGCATTCTTGTAACACAATAAGGGGAATGATTTAAATTATGGTGTCTTTTTACCAGAATGACTGCTTGTCGGGATGTGTCTCATTAGTGTTGTCACATCTGTTTCCTTAGTGCCCTCACACTATCATTATAGTTTTAGTTGGTGTTAAATTTAACACCAAAGTCCTTTAGGAGGAGACTGTTTAATCTACTTGGTGAACAAAAACATCAAAATGGCAGCAGAGGGACTTTGCACCAGAAACAGAGATGGTTCTGAGACATCTATTGTAAGCATAACATCTATACATTTTCCATAGAAATACCAGCAGCTTGATTTGTTTGACCTGATCTGAATAAACCCCACACTTCTGCACTATGTGCCCTTGGTACCACAATATCACACACATGCCTTCTGTCATACATAGCCCACTGGTTCAGACAGAAAATAACAAGTGCAGTGAGGGTGTTCATTGCCAAGGATTTGCAGCTACTTTTGGTGGTTGAAAATGTGGCCGTTTGTCACCTTATGAAAATGCTCAATTCACGTTACAAAGTACCCTCTCACATGTTTTTCTGCACAAAAGTAATTCCTGACCTCTATGAAACGACACAAAATTTTGAAAATGAATTGGGTGAAGCACAGGCCTTGTCCTCACTACAGTTAGTTGGACATAGGGGGCAACAGAGAGTTGCTTCACTGAAGGTTCACTGTATGTTAGACTGGGAAATGAAGAGTGCAGTTCTCCAAAAACGTCCCCTGTATGAAAGTCATACAAGTCCTCATTTGGCCGAGAATTTGACAAATGCAGTGAATATGTGAAAGTTGGAAAGGCCAAATATGTCACTCCCAGTAACCACAGATAATGCAGCAAATATTGTGAATGAGATTCATGAAGCTGACGGACTGGGGCGACAGATTAGTTGCTTTGCACATGTTGTAAACCTTGGAGCCAAGAAAGCAGTGTCAATCAACACAGTGCCCTCCCTCCTGGGCAAGGTCAGAAAAATAATGATTTTTCTCAAAAGCACCACAGCCCACCTTGATTTGATTGTGAAGCAAGAGATGTTAAGCTTGCACAGACCAGTTAATCCATGATATTACAACTAGATGGAACACAATACATGACTTGTTGGAAAGATGCACAGGACAGCAGCCCGCCATCTGCACTGCCTTACCGGACAAAGGTCTGAAGAAGATGTCTGTCAGGGACTTAGAAATGTTAAATGACAGTCAACAGAAACTGGCAGAAGAACTGATTCAGCTACTCAAACCACAGAAAACAGTGATAACTCTCATGAGCTGTGAAACCATGCCCACCGTATTAGCGATCCTCCCTCTGAAAGAGATGATTTTCAAATCCATGGCACCGGGAGACGAGGACATTACAACAGTCAGAAGTCAAAGCAGCCATTACAAATGACTTGGAAAGGAGATACACTGGGCCTGAGCTTCACGATTACAGCAAAGGCTACAGCCCTTGACCCCAGGTTTAAATCCCTGCCTTACCTTGATGACGACTCTTGTGTCAAGCTCTACAAGACTCTTATCACAGAAATTCTGGAGCATGAACAGCAGGTATTATTTGATTATCATGTATTTTGTTAAGCTTGTATGATTTTGATTGTTTTACCTTTGCTTAGATGGCTGTCATATCTATATTTTTCACAGAAAAATAATTTAGCATTTGTGATGTTATTATACACTGGAGATGGTTATGGTTCTGAGCTGTGCATGCTTGTATGCGTCTGGTGTAATTATGTTAAAGGGTCATTGTGTTTGCTACATGGGGCATTTTCAGTACCTAGTATGCAAAGTCCAGACTCCGTACTTGGGAGTTTGGACTTATGTTCAAACGTTAAGTACAAACGCCCAAGAACAGGAGGTTGCAGTCAGCTCAGTGTGCAATTGGAGCGCCAGCGTCCTTGCTAACAGACTACTGTGTTTTGAATGAGATGTTGCTGCATACTAATTATAGCTAGCTGGTCCGTTGGTGGGTACTGGCATCTTCAAAAACGGTGAAGTGAATTTCTAAATCGGCCTTACTTGATAAACTGATGACATGTTCCCAAAGTAAGCAGTTACTTTCTTAACTGAAAAAAATATCAGAGCTTTACAAAGTGGTGTAATAACAATCCCAGAGTAGAAATTATAACAAATTTGAGCCTGGCTCAAACTGCGATAGCTGGCACACAGTGCATTCTGGAATACTTGCCTGCCCCATGTCCACACTAGTAAGCTCCCAAAATGTCCTTGATAAAATGGGCAGAGAAACAGAACTTGTGGTTTTTTGATGTGTGCTTGGCTTGATGCAGACTTTGAACTGGAGCAGTACTTGAGCTGTGTCTGATGAAAAGTGATGAAAAGCACCCAGGGTCAAGCAGAGAATCCTGTGCTATTCCCAGAGGAAGAAAATCGATCATCTCCCCCGCCCAATAAGAACACAGCAATGTCAGAGGAGCAACAGACCAGGGCCTTTTCCCAGATCGCTGAGGAGGAAGTCTGCATTCATGTGGATGGTGATCTATTCATGTCTTGGAAAAACCACAAATGCAAGTTCTCCCATGTAGCAAAAGTTACCCAGTGACACCTCTGTCTGGGGAGCGTCTGTTGCAAGTGAGAAAGTTCCCCGTGGCGCTCAACGATCAGCTCATCAACACTGGATTCCCCGGAGCACAGTACCCATTTGTTTTGACTGCTTGAGGCCGGTGTGTCAGCCACATGTGATGTGTTGCTGGTTAACAAGAGGGCTCCGTTAACTCTATGGGCTACCAGCAGCTGTGAGCTGCCAGGGCTAAGAAACACTTTTTCTTTTGGAAATGTGTTTTTTTTTTTTTTTTTTTTTTCACATTTTTTAAAATTCTTATATCCTGCAAAAATATACCAAGAATGTGAATAATAAAGTTTTTTGCTAATAAGTAAAATAAAGAACTAATTTAAAATTAAAAAAAAGATTTTTTTTCCCCCTTAACCCCTTTAACCCCTTACTGTTCCTGTAAAATTCGCACAAAACACTTAATAGAGTACCAAAAAAAAAACTCTGGTAACCCAGGCTGTCAGAACCGAACCAAAGGGTGACCAAAAAACCAAGGGAAGTATTGGACCGTGGGATAACTGTATTGAATCCTTTTTTTCCACCATGAAAACGTTTCACTACTAAAATCCATAATAACTGATGTGAAATCAAGCTGACTAAAGCCCTTTTTGCAAATTCTGAAATGCAACCTTATCACAGCCACCTTTTAGTCCTGCAAGGGTTGTTGTCGTTTCATACTTGGGTTTCCACAATGTCACCGCAGTGCAATACTTGCTTATCCTAAATTTGCAGGTTTTAAACTTGATTGTCCTTCTGTCCCCTTGTTGATGCTGTATTATATTGGGTAAATCCCAATTCCCTTAATTGCATCCACATTTCCTTCACTTGGCATCTCTTCCTTGTGCCTTAGTCCTGCCAACATAAGATACAAGGAGAATATGTGAGCAGAGAGAGATTGAAACATGTTAAAAGTGTGATACATCCTTTTCTCCTATACTTCATCAGAAGTGTTCAGTCACCATTTTCTGATAAAGAGGCATCTGTCCCTATTAGAATTTCATGAACGACGGTCTCTTGTATCCTTGTTCATGGTTCCTCTAGGCAGCCACCACGCTCCTTGATCCTCACTTCTCAGAGCAGGAGTAAGAGCTTTAGGTTTTCTTTCAAGATGACGGAAGAGAAAGACCTCTGGGTCAAGTGAGGAATGATCAAACAAGGGAACTGGAATTTACCCATTGTCTATATGAGTAAATAACAATACAACTGTCTGAACAGAGCGACACTTACAACCTGAGCTTCCCCTCTCTTTTTCTTGCTGTGCGTTGTGGGTGTGATCTTCTTCAGAGTGTTGAAATCATATCGGTATGTACAGCCAATCAGAGATCAGCCTGCAGCCGTGATGTAGTCTTGTTGTCACGTCAACCACCAACTTTTCTTTCCCAAGTTTGATCTGTTTCTTTTGTTTCAGCTCCTTGTTTTTCATTATCTTCATTCTGCATGTTTCTACCAAAGGTGTTGCCCAAGTGTAGTTTTTTTTTTTTGTTTCAAACTAGTTTACATCTTAATTATGAAAGACGCACAAAATTACCCTCAAGTGGAGGCCAATTATCCAAAGTAGTCTCCATAATTGGATTTTTTTTTTTGTTGTTGTTACAAACAGCTTTAAGTATTTTTTAAATGTTTATTTCATTTTTATCACTTGCTTTACCTGCATCTGCATCCTTATTGGTTTTAACCCTCAGCCATGCTCCTTCATAAGATTGTGAATTATTATGGTAAAAATGCATAATGAAAGGTATAACTGAAAACAGTCACAGTATTTTATATGGATTGGTGCCTGGATAGTAGACAGGTACAGCTGCAGTAAGTCCTGCATTTAGACATGAATCAACCCCACCTGACAGAAGACATGTCTTCAAAGACTAGGTGGAGGAATTATTAGGTTCTGACTGAACCGGCTTGTGACTACAAGGTTAACATAAATGGTAATAGTACAACATGTCACATATACATAGTAGTTAATGATTATTACTTGCAAATATTTTGTAATATATATAAGATTCTTTCCAAACAGTCCATTCAGTCTTCTCAGCAACTCTAGAATGAATACATACAGCATGGCCTCTTGGATACTATGCTTACATACTGTAAAACAATACTTAATATAACAGTAGCCATAAGGTTAATGTAGAAAAATACATTTTTACTTCAGATTCTGCTATTTGAATGAAATCACATTAAAATGTACATGTACAAAACGATATGTGAAGTTATATACCGTAAATGGAATGAAACTGGTTTTTGAAAGGAGCTGCAGACATATCAAGGAAACTTTGTACTGAAAAGATATAATGTAATTTCTATGAAAGATCCATTCAATTAGCAGAAAGTTCTTTTTATAAAAACAAACTTGTCAGTTCTCTGTGATGGAGATGATGTTTCCTATAACACACTGCATTATAGTTACCAATCTGTTACAATACAGATGCATTTGGAAGAAGCTAATATGGACTAATTAATTTTTGACCTTCTGATTTAATGTTGTTAGGATCAGCATGTTAAAGCTGACCTTGTGAAAATACAAATGTTTTAGAACAAAAAAACATTTAAAGTTCTGTGGTCACAGGAGTAGCAGCCAAATTAATTGGGAAGAACAAGGCTTTTTGTGGCAAATAGAAACTTTGCATAATCCCAGCACCCCGCTAGTTTTCATTAGGATTTGTTAAGACTTGATCTGTCCCTTTTTTTAAAAATGTATGAATTTTGTTAATATCCTTCATCAGTCATGAATATACTGACATGAATTGGATTGTTTAGTCAAATAATATAATCTTTTTGCACAAATGCAACCATAGCCAGAGTAGCCATGCTCAGTAATTTTTGTGTAGCTTCTCAAATGTTGAATTACATTTGAATGTTTGTGGATGTTTTGCTTTGATTGAGGCCTCATCAAGATTATTGGTGGTTCTCTGAGACAAAGCAAGACTGGCGGCTGGCATTATCAGTTTTGGTCTAATCAGTGTCCAAATCAGTTTGTAGGCCTGCCTACTATTTCTTGGTTCTGTATCTACAAAGTAAACTGAGTATCATAGGTAAACAATCAAAACAATTGATTTTCTCCATTTGCTGTACATTTTGATGCTTTTCCTACTTAACTGTTCACAGAGTTACCCCATTTCTACACCTCCATCCTTTGTTTTACTGTGTGCTGTCAGTTCAGCATGTATCGCTGTTCACATCTTGCTTTTTTATTTCTGTTGGGAGAGGAATGGTACAAATTGCTTCATATGTACATTTGTGTGTTTGTCTGTGTGTTCCAGTGATGAGGAGATGAGTGCTTCATCAGAGAAATACTCAGTAACGGAGTGTGTTGATTTGGAGAGAACAGGTGTCAACAACTCAGCTGCAGCCTGCTGTCTCAAAACAGGGTCAGACACAACACACACACCGCTTGGCTGTGGTAAAACATGTGCACATCTCTGTACCTTTAAGCACCACTCATCTAGAAATGTTCAGTCATAAATAGTACATCATCATCTTTGGCCCTGAAATCTGTGGGATCTTTCAGTGTCGTGAAATGCTGTTCTAAAATCAGTCAGTTTGTTCCTGTGTAACTGTAATAGCAGATTTTCACCATAGGAACTTAACGAGTCATAACCTGGCGCTTCCCATATCATAAACCCAACAGAAGTGGAAGGGCATGACTGACATCTTTCTCACTCTCTCTCACTCTCTCTCACACACACACACACACACACACACACACACACACACACCTCATGTGGACTGCCAGAATTCAGCTCCTGTGGCTCATTTCCAGTGTGGGTGGAAGATAGTTGAAACAAAAACAAAACCTGTTACAAGTGGCATAAGTTTGGTCATAAGTCGGTAAGTTCCTAAGTGGAAAAGGCCTTGAAGTTACAGTGGGGCAAATAAGTATTTGATACACTGCCAATTTTTCAAGTTTTCCCACTTACAGAGAACGGACAGTTTTGTAATTTTCATCGTAGGTACACCTAAACTGTGAGAGACAGAATCTACAAAAAAATTCCAGTAAATCACATTGTTAGATTTTTAAATAATTTATTTCCATTTTATTGCATGAAATAAGTATTTGATACAATAGAAAAATAGAACTTAATATTTGGTACCGAAACCTTTGTTTACAATTACAGAGGTCAGACATTGAGCTGTCTAAGGACACTAGGGACAAAATTGTAGACCTGCATAAGGCTGGTATGGGCTACAGGACAATAGGCAAACAGCTTGGTGAGTATCGCTGACCAAGGGGCCATGTATTGCGAGATTTTGGACAACAACCTCCTTCCCTCAGTAAGAGCATTGAAGATGGGTCGTGGCTGCGTCTTCCAGCATGACAATGACCCCAAACACACAGCCAGGGCAACTAAGGAGTGGCTCTGTAAGAAGCATTTCAAGGTCCTGGAGTGGGCCAGCCAGTCTCCAGACCTGAACCCAATAGAAAATCTATGGAGGGAGCTGAAACTCCGTGTTGCCCAGCAACACCCCCAAAACCTGAAAGATCTGGAGAAGACCTGTGTGGAGGAGTGGGCCAAAATCCCTGCTGCAGTGTGTGCAAACCTGGTCAAGAACTACAGGAAATGTCAGACCTCTGTAATTGTAAACAAAGGTTTCGGTACCAAATATTAAGTTCTATTTTTCTATTGTATCAAATACTTATTTCATGCAATAAAATGGAAATTAATTTTTTAAAAATCTAACAATGTGATTTTATGGAATTTTTTTTTTTTGTAGATTCTGTCTCTCACAGTTGAGGTGTACCTACGATGAAAATTACAGAACTGTCCATTCTTTGTAAGTGGGAAAACTTGAATAATTGGCGGTGTATCAAATACTTATTTGCCCCACTGTAGTTTAGGTATCAAATGTGTCACTTCTGTCACATCACCATCTTCAGGACCTCTAAATTTGAATCATTTGAAGGTATATGTCTTAGGGTAGAAAAACACACTTGCAAAAAATTGCAGTGGGAGAGCTGATACGCAGCCAAAAAGATGCTGTTTGCTGAGAAGTTGCTGAGTGCTAAAGATAGACAAGTGCACCCAAGTAATAAAAAAAAGCTGACTGAAAGAGAACTACAAAAGAACTAGATTAATAAAACAAACCTACATGTAATATGGAGTTTCCCCAGTAGAGGCAGCATTAGACCACAAATGTAATTAAGATTTTGTCAATATGATTATTTTTACTTTGTGATATATAATTAGTTTATAATGTACATTTCTTATATAAATTATGCTATGATATATCCTGCATAAACACATAAATGTAGCTATTTAGTGAAACATTTCTCTCCCCTACTTATGTCCTCTGTAAGCAGTGAGAAGTGTCGGTCTACTGTGGAGATTCCCAATGGTCCTCTAGAGGAAATGTCGGCCATAGAGGATGCCAAGTAAGTATGACTGCCATTGTTAACTATGTGTGAGTTTGATCTCAGGGTTTTCTTGGGTGAACCCCCTAAACCAAGAAACCCCTCAAATGTCCTGTAAAAAGTCATGTGAGGTCTCAGTCAAGCACAGTAGGGTTGTGACAAGATCTTGCGGTGTTAAAATGTGACTTTCTTGTTGAGGCACAAGCTGTCTCATGGGATCAGTACATAACAGTCAGGCCAGTATGATGGAGTGTGACCCCACCTTCACATTAGTCCAGTGTAGTCTGTGTGTTTTAATGCACAGAGTTGCATTGGTTGCGGTGTGAATGGTTGCAGGTGGAGTGTTGTAGGTGTGCAAGACATGGCCACGTTGTAATGAGTGACATTCATGTTTCTAGCCCTTGAGTTTCCATTATGTTTTGGTTGGCCATGCTGTTAGCAACCAGTTCATGTCCACTCAACCTTAGTACAAATTTTACCACCAGTGTGTTGGCACTGATACCTAAAAAAAAAAATAAAAAAAAAAAAACACTGGTTAACATCCAGTAAAAAGAAAATGTATGCTCATTATGGTGTGTTAATTGTGGCCCAAATTCTAGATATTTTGGTATACAGTGATCTGTAGTGCCTTCCAGAGGGAAGGAGTTCAAACAGACTATGTGCAGAAATCTTCTTTGTCCTCCTTTTGACCAAAGAAGTGAACAGGTCCTCCATGGAGGGCAGGCTGGCACCGGTATGTTTTTTTCTGTCTGCTGGAGTCTGTTCCTGTCCTGTTTGGTTGCTGAGCTAAACTAAACAGAAATGGAAGTACAACGAACACACTTGATGATTCTCCTATAGAACTGAATCAGCAGCTCCTGAGGCAGGTTGAACTTCCTGAGCTGACGCAGGAAGTACAACCTCTACTGTACCTTTTTGATGATGGCACTGATGTTGGTTTACCCGTTCATGTCCAGAGAGATTGTGGAGCCCGGGAACTTATAGGACTCCAGCTCTGTTCCAGTCATGCTGAGTATAGTGAGATAGGGTGGGGGAGCTCCTCCTAAAATCCACAATCATTTCTATTGTTTTCAACATATTCAGCTCCAGGTTGTTATAACCACACCACAAGGCCAGATGTTCAACCTCTCATTTGAAGGCCAACTATTCCCTGTCTTGGATGAGACCCATGACTGTTGTCGTCTTCAAACTTCAGGAATTTTACAGAGGGGTCTCCTGAGGTACAGTCGTTGGTGTATAGGGAGAGCACACGACCCTGGGGGCACCTGTGCTGATAGACTGGGTGCTGGATGAGGTTTTCCCCAGCCTCACCTGCTGCTTCCTGTCTGTCAAAAAGCTGGTGATCCACTGACAGGTGTGGAGAGACACGGTTATCTGGGTGAGTTTGGACTCGAGGATGTCCTTGATAATGGTGAACGCCGAGCTGAAGTCCCTAAAGAAGACCCATGCATAGGTCCCTGGAGAGTCGAGGTGTTGCAGGATGTAATGCAGTGCCATGTTGACTGCATCATCTAAAGACCTGTTTGCCTGGTAGGCAAAGTGCAGGGGTTCTAGCAGTAGAGAGGGATTTCACACAGCTCCAGTTTGTTGTTGAAGATTTGAGTGAAGATGGGAGCTACTGGTTAGCACAGGCTTTTAGCAAGGAGGGAATCCCACAGTCTGAGCCTGGTGCGTTCCTGATATTTTTTTCTCTGAAACGGGCTACACATGTTCTTCACAGATCATCAGAGAAAACAAAGCCAGTTTGCACAGAAGAAGCAAGGTGAAGCAAGTAAAGATTTACCACGAGGGGTGGGATTGTAGGGGGAGCAACAGCTGCTGATGGTGTGTGTGTGTGTGTGTGTGAGGGATGTGAATTGATGTGTATCATAACCTTAAAAATAGTGTTTAAAATATTCTCGTTTGCATGAACCCAATATCTTGTATCATGTCATTCTGTGAGCTAAGTGTATTGTCACTCTCAATTTTTAATCTGAATTGTTTCTGTGCTTTACAGCTACACTTTAAAATACACCCAGCTGTGTGGGGTTTTTTTTATACACCTAGTTAAAACTAATTCAGTGTAGTACAACAGTTCAACTGGGATTTATGGCATGACTGTTAACTTGAGTGTAGTGGTTTTAGCTAGGTGTACTTAAACTGCCAGCTGAGGGTAGATGTGTTACTTCCTTCTGTCTTCAGGATCCATATCCTTATGTGTTTCTTTCCAGACTGGACCAGAATGCTGTGCTCTCTGAGCCAACTGTAAATGGGCCAGCATGAAGGCCGCTCAATGCCAGCCAGTGGCCAGCCTGTTCTGTGATGTAGGGTGCTCCTTCTGGTCAGTCAGTGGAAGCCAATGCTCAGAACTGTACCAACCACATGCCCCCACCAGGACCAGCAATACTCCAATCGGCTCATCACTGACAGACAGATGTACAGACACAGGAAGAACTGAAAAGCAAAATGACATATTTAAATTTTTCTGCATTTGTTTATATACTATTGTTCTTATGAGGTGATGTGCAGCTGATATCTTGCTACTCAAAATTAAACAGTAATGTTGCTATAGTTAAAAAAAGATTGTACGATTAAGATAATTTTATAAAAAGGAAAATATATACAAAAAAATGATGAATTACCACAGAAATGGGGAAAATCGATGACCCACCCAACCACAAACAGCTGTTATTGGCTAGATCTGTTATCCTGCATAAGAGTCTGACACTTAATACAGTAGCTGTTGCATTTAAAATTTTCATCCATTGTTCATCTGTCTCTCTGAGCAAAGCAGCTCCGACAAATTGTTGCATTTTAAAAACCACATGTAAAGTTTTATTTTCCTTCGGGTATTATACATAAATGTTTTCCTGTTGTATTCTTCAGCATCGAGTAAGATTTGCCACGACTTTTTTAGAGCCATACCAACACACACTCTGTCCTTCTTTGTACCTCACAGCTAGAAGGTTTAACAAGAGAGATACAATTAACACAGCATACACCTGGAGCTGTAAATGTATTCTGAGGATGTGCTTTTAGCACCAACTGGACCTCTTCAGAACAACAGCCCTTTTATTTAGCCAAAAACTCATTTTTAAACCATGTATTTTTTAGACCAGTGGTTTTGCCTTTGGATCACATTTCACATGTATATTAAATTACATTGTAGGTTGATGATGCATGTAGATGATGTGCAGAAATTATTTTAAGCAGCTACAGCAATTTAGAGACTATACATGCAGGAACATGAAGCTATTTAAAAAACTTTTTTTTTTGATTCAGTAACTTTGATTTATTTCTGAAGACAGCTAGTTTAAATTGTAAGTTGATAGTCAGCAGTCATGATATCAGCTTCTGAACACGTTCCAATAACAGGTGTCAACTCTAGGCTGCAGTCGGACTGACAGTACCATCACCTTCATAAGGTGTCGGACTGACTTGGATATCTGACTTACCTTTTTGAAACTCCTGAGAAAAATGTCTGGCTTTTGAGGTGCCAGGTGCTTATTGTTTCTTTTCTTAACATTTTCCTAAATAATAAATGACTGACTTTTGCTTTGGATTGACTGTTAGTGTACTGAACAAAAAATTAATGTGAGCTAATCTTGCTTGGCATCAGATCTGTTGGCAGCATTACTGCTGACTAACTATTCATATTAGGTTAACTCAGCCCTACGTAGACCAATCACTAATGCATCTCCCTGTCACTGGGAAGATGTGTTTTACAAATAGTTTTCTTTTTCACCTCGATTCACTGGTTTGGGTTTAGTTCTAAAGGAAAGGGATAATGTAACCCATACTTTCTGTACCAGCATTGAAAAGGGAATAAGCTGCAGAGAATAGTACAACTGAATCTCCACATTTTTGCTTGATTTAAATAATTACATTTCATCTTAATTTCTGAAGCAAAGTGGTTCAGATAGTTTATTGGGCTAATCAATTTTTACTGAAGTTTTATAAGACTTTTTGCACAATTCCATCAGGGGATTCTTTGGGAATTCTTTCTTAAATACTTTTTATATAGGATTTTGAAGGCTCAATTCCAGGCAAACTCCCCATTTGCCCTTTTTATTGGGCTGTAAAAGTCTGAATTTTTTTCTTTTATCGAATAAAAATGTTCACAGGAATTTGCATTGATTGTGACGGCATTGAATTGCATCGGTCAATGACTGTCATATGGGGCTTTCTTCCACTAAACCCTCATAATGGAATCTTAAAATCAATTTGAAAGCACGTGGGCTATGGAGCAGCTACAGATTTTGATGGTGGCCAACAGCACTGATACCTGGACTCCTTTTACAGTCTCAGAAAACTTGGAAAAGGTGAGTTTTTTTTTTTTTAACACAAGGCAAAACTAAACTTGGAGCATACATTTATTTTATTTAAAAGCTTCATTAGTAAAACATCTTTACTGTTATAAATTGCTAATGAGAAATTGCTGATTTTTTCTTACTAAATAAGCATTGTTACTGTATACCTTAACATTTTACTGTAAATCTTTAGGATGAGTGCTCTTGAAGTAAAATGTAAAGTTGTTGGAGTGGTGGAAACATCACAGCTAAGACTAAGTACACTTTTACTAGAATTTATACATGGAATGGAGCTTCTTTTGAATACCACCACAGCAAACTTTAAACAAGAACTGAAACGATGAATAACACAGTATGTGTGGTTAAAGAACAAGTACAATGTGCAGTATAGAGATGTTTTTGTGCGAGAGTGATGGTATTACTTTGAAGAAAGCAAGTACATCACTTCAAAATGATACAAGGTTTTAAGATGACACTTATCACAGAAACCTGAGCACAGTTGATATGGAATGTTATAACATTCAAAAGGTGTGTGTGAGAAGCAGGTGGGCAGTAAAAAAGCTACAGGCAAGATGAGCATTTTTCTTTTCTACCAGCCTTTAGAGCAGTGTTTGAATTATAGGGAAGCAAGGGGGTTGAAGAGACCTGAACTCCCCAAGAAGCAGCAAAAATTCGAGCTTTGGGCATCCCAAATCAATAACGGGTCAATTTTGTTAGGGCCTATATCAATTCTAATCATAAAACAAAGTATGCAGGAATTAAAAGCAAGTAATGTCTGACACACACACACACTCCCTCCCCCACCTTTTTCTCAAAAATGTGCAGTCAAGACAGTTTCAAAGCTTTTCACCTGCCTTCAGTCTATACAGGAAGTCACAGAAGCATTCACATCCTGTCAGATCTGATCCCAATCTAATAAAATGTCATAAAAGCAAACCGAAACAGCTGTTTTAACAATGTTCCTCTCTCTGACAAGGAAAGTGATAACTGATGATGTGTTGATCTCCATACTGTTACTTGTTAGATTAGCTTTTCACTCATAACTCGAAATAGTCCAAAAAAAAACCCAATATCTTAGAAAAATCCCCCCCCCCGGAAATCAAAGGATAGTTTGTGAACAAGCACAACTCCTGTTGCCGATCAGCAAGCCCAGACAAAGCATAAACAAAAAAACTGACAAATAAGCTATGTTTTTGATGATGACAATGCCTTAAATGCTTCCTGACATGTTTGGGCTAGAATATGAAAGCGGACAGCATGATGAACTGTAATGGCATTAATTAGAATTTCTCCTCCATAGATAGGCAAGCAACAGTATATGTACTGATGAAAAGAGATGTGTAACACTCTGAACAAAGCGGGCAATTGAGAAACCCTATATTTTAACTGGCATAATGCAGACATAGCAACTTCTCCAGCCTTACAACAATTCTCTAAAGAAACGGCGAATTTACAGACAAGCAAAATGTGTGGGGTTTTTAAAACTTACCATTACATCCCACTGAGTAGTGGAAACTTCAAGCTCAGTAAATCCAACCAGTGGTCACAGCATCTTTCCCCTCACAACCACATACAGTCCCAAAGTAGTGAAATTAATTCCAACAGGTAGCGTAGCACCAACAATAACATCATGGATCGGTAGAATCCTCTCACCAACCAGCCACACATCACATGCTGCAGACACTCTGGCCTCAAGCAGTCAAAACAAACTGGTACTGTGCTCTGGGGGAATCGAGCCTCATTCACTGCCTGGCTGCTTGTAAGTTAGACCCGGTCAGGTAAAACAGCGAGTCCCTGTACAGGAACATTCCCAGACTTGCAGTAACCTCAGGCGCTGTATTTTTCTCCACCTCTTCTGGTCACAGTGCAGCAACAGGAGGGAAAATATATCCACAAAACCAGGCACAGTCAAAAAATCCTGCTTTTAGAATGGCACCGGTGGATGTCAGGCAAGCTCACATGAACACACAACTGCCTGGAGGTTATGACCATTAGGATACTAGCTGATAGTGCAGAAGGTCTGGTAAGTGGCTCTGGAGCTGAGGAATGGTGGTGAATGTTGTAAAATTAGGCAAGTGATTTATAAATGCTCACCCTTATTTTGGAATGTGATCATACATCCATGTTTTTGATTCATCTGGGTTCCCACCTAGCTGTGGCATGTCCCCAGAGACTATATTGGACTATTTAAAATGCCATTCTGATAAAATCCTGTACACTACTAACCAGAATGAGGATGCAGTGTCCTCTGTATCTGGCCCACATGCAGCCTTTTATTTGTTTTATTGTTTCATTTTAATGATGTGATTGCTTTTATACGATGATGTAGATTATACAGTGCCTTGCGAAAGTATTCGGCCCCCTTGAACTTTGCGACCTTTTGCCACATTTCAGGCTTCAAACATAAAGATATAAAACTGTAATTTTTTGCGAAGAATCAACAACAAGTGGGACACAATCATGAAGTGGAACGAAATTTATTGGATATGTCAAACTTTTTTAACAAATAAAAAACTGAAAAATTGGGCGTGCAAAATTATTCAGCCCCTTTACTTTCAGTGCAGCAAACTCTCTCCAGAAGTTCAGTGAGGATCTCTGAATGATCCAATGTTGACCTAAATGACAAAGGATGATAAATAGAATCCACCTGTGTGGAATCAAGTCTCCATATAAATGCACCTGCACTGTGATAGTCTCAGAGGTCCGTTTAAAGCGCAGAAAGCATCATGAAGAACAAGGAACACACCAGGAAGGTCCGAGATACTGTTGTGGAGAAGTTTAAAGCCGGATTTGGATACAAAAAGATTTCCCAAGCTTTAAACATCCCAAGGAGCACTGTGCAAGCGATAATATTGAAATGGAAGGAGTATCAGACCACTGCAAATCTACCAAGACCTGACCGTCCCTCTAAACTTTCAGCTCATACAAGGAGAAGACTGATCAGAGAGGCAGCCAAGAGGCCCATGATCACTCGGGATTAACTGCAGAGATCTACAGCTGAGGTGGGAGACGCTGTCCATAGGACAACAATCAGTCGTATACTGCACAAAGCTGGCCTTTATGGAAGAGTGGCAAGAAGAAAGCCATTTCTTAAAGATATCCATAAAAAGACACACTCTTGTGTGTTACAGCCTGCTCAGTGTTTTATAACTAAGGTGTCACTTTATTTTTAAGCTCATTTAATAAGACAAGTTGAACCAGAACAGACTCATTTGGAGCAGCATAGAAACACATACAGTACACACATGGATCACTGTGTAGAGCTATGGGCAGCTTCTGCACAACTTCTATAATTAATTAAAGTCCCACTCCAGAAACATTTTCATTTTTATATTTGTATATAAAAATACTTTACTATAAACAATATGCAGTCTAACACAGCTTTTCCTCAAAAAAATTTCAGTGGGCCTCTGTAATAGGAATGAACATTGCCCCTCATTGTGCATTCCAGGATCTATGAATGTTGCCGTCATCCCTTATGTGGATTTGAATAATTTTGCACGCCCAATTTTTCAGTTTTTTATTTGTTAAAAAAGTTTGAAATATCCAATAAATTTCGTTCCACTTCATGATTGTGTCCCACTTGTTGTTGATTCTTCACAAAAAATTACAGTTTTATATCTTTATGTTTGAAGCCTGAAATGTGGCAAAAGGTCGCAAAGTTCAAGGGGGCCGAATACTTTTGCAAGGCACTGTAGAAAGAATGATTTTAAAGAGATTCATTTTGTCAAAAGACATCTTTGTTGTTTTGTGATTTGTAAAAAACACAAAGATGATTACTTTTATTGATGAAAAAAGGGAATGCAAGGGACCTGTCCTCTTTTGTGCGGCATATCATAACACTTTTAGCAGAACTGTACTTGACATCGTGAAGCTCCCCAAACAGAGAACATACATTCAGGAGTTGCTGAAGACCTGCTGAGCGGGGACTAAACATCACCAGATCATCTGCATACATTAAGTGATTCACTATTATACCTCCAACCATACATCCTGTTTTACACATATTTAGCTCCTTAGAGAGACCATTCATATAAAATTTTACACATATTTAGCTCCTTGGAGAGACCATTCATATAAAAATTAAACAAAATTGGGGACAACAGACTACCTTGTCTTACCCCGTTACAGGTCTGAAAGGGTGCAGATATACAATTATCCCATCTGACACACATAGTCTGGTGGGTATAGCAATATGACAAGCATCTCACAATATATTTAGGCACTCCAGCGTCACACGATTTCTGGAATAACTTCCTGTGATTCACACAATCAAAAGCTTTAGAAGCGTCTAAAAAAAACACATAAATACGGTAAAATTTTTAATTTAATGTTTACTAACTAGTTCTTTCAAAGCAAAAATACACATATCAGTACCATGATTGGCTTTAAACCCAAATTGATTATCAGTAGAGCCAATAAGATTATGAAACCTACTCGCGAATTTCTTCAACAACTTTAGAAAGTATATTAGCAAGTGCAATGGGTCAATGTATTATCACTGTAACACGTACAACAAAATTTTAGAGTGACCTCCAGTTGGTACAGCAATAGAAAAAAACATAGCATATGAAATAAGACCATATAAAAAACCTAACCGCTAGAAAACGAAATAAACAGACCTCTTTTTTGCAGGTTAAGATAATGTTGTAGAAGCATATCGTGTCTTTTCATTTTTTCAACAGGACTTATCACTTTCTGATCAAAATACGTATCATCCCTCAATTCTACCCACGTTCCGCCTCTTTGTCCATTTTTGGATTAGACGTAGTAGGCAGAGTGAAGCGCTACCAATATGGCGACGGTCAGACTTGCGCTTCAAAACTGCTCTCCAGAAAACCAATTGGTGACGTCACGGTGGGTTGGCCCAGCTGTTATATACAGTCAATACTGCATTCAGCCATATTGGTAGTGCCTTTCAGCCAAATATTGTGTACCCGGGATTAGATCCTCAGGTAGCTTACCTCTGCAATGCTTAGTCTGTATCTTACAGATGCCAATATTCAGCAGCTCAACTGACAAAGATACTACAGAATGATAATGTAATCATAATAAGTGGTATGCAACAATGAACAGGCGAACTAGGGATTGATTTTAAGGGTCCAACTCAATCTTCCACATTTCATCACTAAAGCGAGATTGAAACTAGACCCCTTTAGCGTTAATGTGTACTCTGTACAGCATACTGCGCATTTTTCCAGCTTCATGGCCTGTGCTTGTTATGTATTGCAGTCCATAAAGTCTATGGCACAGCCGCAAGCGCTGCTGCCTGACAGATACAACCCGGGGCAAAATTCACCCGTGAACGTCAAAACAACTTGTGTTGACGGCTAGCCGAGCTAGCATTTAGTCTAGCTCAAGTCTTGACCAAAAGCTTTCGTCGACTCTGGTAGTTTTACAAGTGTGCCTTTCAGTGTGAGGCATGCAGGATAGGTATAGCGAGATAGGCTTTGTGCAGCAAATACTCGGTTTGAATTTAGTGCCGAGACAAAATGGCACACACCGAGGCAACGACACATCTCTCAGCGACTTCTCAGGTGGGCCCATGTTCCGTAGCTTGTTAGCTGTACCTACAGGCTGTGTATTACCGCAGAAACACCTGACCAAAATACTATATACGAAGGATAAATATCACAACAGTTCTTTTCCTTTTAACGAACGTGTTAAGTCTAAATTGCGCTGCTAGTTAGGTTAGTTGACAGTCTCTAGATTGTGTGCCTTAGCATTTATTTAGCTAGCCGGGTAACTATTGTATATCGTGAACCCAGCTCATGTCTAGTTGTTAGAGTCGGAACTGTTTCAAGCGATGCTTAACTAATTGTGGTAGTATTTGCCATTCAGTAATTAGTCAATTGGCGTAATATTCACCAATGTGGTTAAAACTTGTATATAATAAGTAAGACCGCATCGTGTAGTTGTCTGTTAGCCTATTATAGGACAGCTGAAGGAAGAAAATGTTTGGATGTCGATTGATATTCGTGGAATGAACAAGCTGTTTCAGAATTCGCCATGCAAAACTTTTATCTCATAAAATGTGCTTAGATGTAGTGTCGACTGAAGAGAAATATCATTTTAACGTACGGATACATATTTGTGTGTTTGGGGTTGTAAACTATTTCGTGGACACAAATGAACAACAATAGAAACAACAGTACAGTAACACTGGTTTTCTAAAGTCTGTTGAGTTTGAGGTGGCTCTGTCGAGTGTGATTCAACCTTAAAAGAATAGTTTGGGATTTTTCAAGTTGGTGTTAAAACAATATTGATGTATCCCTATGTACATGAGAACAGGTCTTAGTTGTTGTCACTTCTCCTCGTCTCCACACTGACCATGACTTTTTTCCACCCACAATGTTACTATGCTGCACAAATACGAGGCACCAACTACACAACTCTCTGTAAAAACATGCACTCCAAAGTTTGTCTGCAGCTTCAGCTGTCCCACTAAGTTAAAGTGAGTCAGTATATTTCAGAGTTATTTAAAACATGTCCCTCTTATTTCCCTGGACAGTACCTTGCCAAGCTGTGGTGGTGGGATACATTATAGTAGTGGGTTGCAAGCTATATTCCCCACAACTGGCTTTTTACTCACATAAACGCAAAACCAATATTGCAAATCAAATCAAATTTTATTTGTATAGCGCCAAATCACAACAAAAGTCATCTCAGGACACTTTACAAAGTAAGGTCTAGACCTTACTGTTATCAATATTATTACAGAGGGAAAACCCAACAAACCCCCCTTGAGCAAGCACTTGGCGACAGTGGGGAGGAAAAACTCCCTTTATCGGAAGTTGCAGTCTCTCCACTGTCACTATATGAACATGTAAGATATAATAACCTACAATAACATTTGTTTCTTTAAAGCTGGGTCAGTGTCATTGTTACACTGTAGGTGAACTGCTGACTATCTTCACTGTGGCCTTTGTAGGAACATTATCTCACACAGCTATCTGATATATAACAGCACATTATGTATTTATTTGCACTTAGCCCCTCGTCAGCTGCTGTTAACTCGAGTGATGATGGCACAGCTGTGCAGAGTTTCTCTCACAGCACCTCTCCTACCTTGAAAATGGGCTCTCTCAGCTTTGTAAATGACGTACTTGTGTTCATCTTGACATTTTCAGGGATCTCAGGTGAAATCTGTAGTTTGCTTTTGCCCATCACTTGTTTCTTTCAAAGCTTGGTGTCTAAACACACACATAAACCAGGTTCTCCTTCACCTGAAGTGCAGATGAGGCAGGAATAAACAGGAGAGAGACAGGAACAACTCTTGCGATGTCACGCATATACAAATATAACCTCAACACAAGAGGTGTTTACTGGTGTCTCAAAATCACAAACTGAAAAAATACTCCAGCTGTCAAGGTGCAAACTTGTTTTCATGTTACCTCCTGAGCACAACTCCAGTAGTAAACATCAGCTAAAACTTACACATGATTACTATAACGTATCCCTCTGCCGCACCTCATCAATCTATTGTGCAGGGAAATAAAAGAGAAATGGTTTAAATGTACTGTAACTTTGAAATATACTGACTCCAGTTAGCTTAGTGGGACAGCTGAAGCTCCATTTGAGCCGCAGACAAACCTTGGAGTGCATGTTTTTACAGAACGAGACTTGTGTAGTTTGTCCTCTACTTTTTGTAGTGTAGAGGTGTTCTGAGGGGGAACATAGGCTCAGTGTGGAGACTACGAGATTGACGACGACTAAAACTAAGACGACTGAGATGTACATAGGGATACATCAATAACACCAACTTCAAAAATCTCCAACTATTCCTTTAAGATGGTCTTAGAGTTGACTGTTCTGCCATAAATATGCTCCATGCTGTAATTAAACTCTGCTCTTATTTCACTGAATGGCTCTAACATACAGAAATTCCCCACCCCTTTGCAACCCTAAATACCACAGAAGGTAGCCACAGCCCACATTAGTTTATCATCTTCTTCTCCTTATTTTGGTGTGCTCAGTGCTTCCCCCTTCTGGTCAGGTGAATTCTTACTTCCGTGGTGACACTGTCCAATGCACGAATGTACATATAAGATCCAGCGACACTATTTAGCAAACTGCTGCCCAGAATGAGGAGAAAAGGACAACAAAATCCACTAGGACAAGCCACATAATTTGTAAAGATTTGTACTTTACTAGAAGTAACACCACGGCCAGCTTTTTCAAGAGAAAAGACTTTGACAGTCACAATGATGTGCCTGGTTTTTGCATATGTACAGCTGGTTTGTTTGCCCATCCTCATTAAAGTTTAATGCACAGCTGTTTATCTTATGTTTCTGTGACATGCATTCATCTGAACGGGGCTAGGAAACGAATAAAAATGCGCTGGGAATACATTTCACTGAGAAACTGAATAAAATGAATCATCTTTAGAAGTGCAAGCTGGCAGACATCAAGCATAACAACCTGTGCTGGTGGTTAACTAACAGGGCAAGCTCAAACTTGTTGGCAAACTAGGCTATAACCATGTCTCAGAAGAAAAGACGGCCTGTAGAGCATTGTTTCCACACAATACAAGTGTGCTGCCTGTCTCATTATTCCGACAAATCCATATAGCATCACAACGTTATATTTAAATAGGCCCCAACTGAAATCAAAAATGTTTTCTTTGACTGCAGAATGAAGAAACAAAATAACCCCATACCACTGCACTTAGTTTGGGAACCACTGCTTTATAGAGGAGATGAAGGCAGTGGAGCCAGAGCCATGATCACATTGATGATAAATTGATTGATCTCATTAAATTGGCCCAGTGCACAGTGGAACTGTAAACGGTTTTGTACTTTGATTGCTATGAACTGACTGTGTGACTATATGTCCAGAGATGTGGTATGGCGTGTTTCTATGGGCGGCGGTTTCCTCTCTGGTCTTCCACCTGCCTGCAGCTCTGCTCTCCCTCGCCACACTACGCCAACACAAGATGGCCAGGTTCATGCCCATTGCCATCCTTCTCATGGGCATCGCCGGACCAGTTTTTGGAGGTGTCCTCACCAGTAAGTCTTCTGTTTATATAAGTGTGTATATATCCATTTTGGGTTATGGATGTTGTGGTTAAGCTTTTGTTTGGCCTAGATTTTTTTAGTTTGGGAATCTGCTGATGCCAAGGATGATGTGATTCTTATCGAAACATAGTATCTTCAGGTTGTATACTATTTAACCTGAAAAATAAGTACGATTAAATTTAATACTAATACTATAGTGGCAGAAGAGATGCAGTGTTAATAAATGCGCACATACCTGGCATACTGAAAGAACAGTAGCTTGTGTGCCAAATACTGGCGGTCCTGTATGCTGATCAGCTAAAGTTGTTATGATTAAATGTAACATACAGCTCCTGAAATTGTTATGATCAGCTAATTGATTTTGAATTATTAGGTGTTCTTTTTAACTAGTACCAGTCTAGTAAAATGATCAGGTCCTCTGGATCACCTGGGAACAGTTCTAGATCATCAAATGTTAGTGAAATGTGATTTTGTAGCTGGAAGTGTGGCAAAGAATGCTTATTTTAATCATTATTTGACTATTTATTGTGTTTATTACTTCATGTACATTTTCCTTTTTAAGGAGAATCATTTGCAGCTTAAAACATTTCTAGCTTATCAGACAACAGGTCAGATTTTAAAATAAAGTTGTTAAATGCTTATGTGTTGTGTTTTTCTATTTTTCAAAGGTGCAGCCATAGCAGGAGTGTACAAGGCAGCAGGGAAGAGGATGATGTCTTTGGAGGCTCTTGTTTTCGGTGTTGGACAGTCATTTTGTGTTCTCATCATCTCCTTCCTCAGGGTACTTGCCACCCTTTAGCAGTGGTGAGACCCACCTGACTGGACCTAGTACTACCTGGTCAGTCAAACACCAGTCGCACCTTCTCTTTGGAGGACCTGAGTTTAACATGGTGCAAGGCTAGATCCTGGGACACATGTAAATCAATCAGGGACATGATGCCATTTTTTACTGATGGACCAGGACCAGAGCGGACTGTTTTCAGCTATCCAAGAAAAAGCAGAGTGTAAACTGAAGGTGTGTGTTAAACAGCGCTAAGGCTGTTGATTCACCTGTATGTTGTCAGCTGTAGGACCGCACAATTCTGCATTCGCATCATAGGGCAACCGCACACACTACATTAGTGTTGTCATGATACTGGAGTTTCTAATTTCAATATGATGCCTTCAGAAATATCGATATTCGATACCACGGGGGAAAACTGACACCTGATTAGGGGCATAACATTTTATTTAAAAGTATGGTGAGGCTTTAAAATAACATAGAAGTACAACTTCTTTTTCTCGGCTAGTAGCAGAGAACAGCTTATAGATGTTACCGATAGACTAATTTTTTGCTTTCTTTTTTTTCCACATGAATGAAAACCATGTTCTTGAGGTGGTGCACATGTTCAAGAGCCTCTGAGATTATCACGCTTACTGTTAAGTGCAACTGCATCTAACTTAATTTACTAATTAAAGTATTTTCAACTGAATCTCTGCTGTTTGGTATTCCTCAGGCCTGACAGCTCTGAGGGTGAGTAGCTTAGCTACTGGGCCAACAGGACAGCACACTTAACAGTTTACTGGGCCATCTTGTTTAATGCTTCACTGATGCTGAAATGACAGCTATCACCAACCTCTTGAAACTCTTCACAGAGGTGAGCGTGTCAGTTATTTAGGTGCATTGCTGAATTTGTTGTGTTAGCAGCTACCATTAGCATTGCTATAGAGCAGTGCTGTTTTCTGCTGTTCTCTTGTCAACCAAAACCAGTTGTGGGAGCTCTGCACTCCTTATCTTTAATGAGCTACCGCCATAGCAAATCTCGCAATATACCACGGTCTGTCATTAGCTTAAAACTCAACCAGAGCAAGACCACTGACATGTATACGATGGTCATGGCATCTGCACAGCCTACCACTATGCAAGAAAGAAGCCAAAATATCATGCATACAGCAGCTGCCATCTTGCATTTTTGCAACCAGATTTGGTGCAGTAGCGACCAGAAGTGGAGTGACAGCATCGGGCCGCCAATCAAAACTGTCAAATCAGCTGAATTGCATCCCTTTGTTAATCATCAAATAACATTAAAAACAACTGTACCAGAAAATTGACCACTTTTACACACATCTACCAGAAACCACAGACATGACCTCAGGGAAAAATACATCTGATTTGTACTTTGAGTTTTTATTTTGGCTCTTGTCCCATCCACTAACATGGAGGTAGTGGGATTTATTGCCTATGCTCCAACCAGCCACCAGGAGCCGATCACGTCACAGTGTTTTCACTTCCAGAAGCTGCCATGGTGTCCATATTTTCTACAGTTGATGAGAAAAATGAGCAACAAGGCAGACAGCACAGTGACTGACTGGGAGGAGGCGGTGCTGTTGGCACTGCACTGGTTTGTGCGTGTTGTTGGAGAGAGAGCGAGAAAGCACAGCTGGAATCGGTGTATTGATACTACAGAAAATGAGTATTAAAACTTATTTCAAATATTCTGAATCTATGTATCGAAAAATCGATATTTTTAACAACACTAAATAGAGTTTATTTAAAATCTGCTTTTATTCCTGTGTGATGTGAAGGTAGCAGGATGCTGTTCTCCCTTGTTGCCTGGGGTTAATGGTTAGCATCAGGACCAGGGGTTCTGTGTGTTTCCCTTTGACCATGAGTCTGACAACAGTATGACTCCATGTAATGACTACAGAGACAACAGGCAGTCTGATGGGCTGATGCACTGTTGAGACAGCAATACCATGGTTGTATGCAAGATTCTGGCTTTTTCTCTTGCGGCCTTAATTTCTATTTTATAACATCCAAAGTGGTTTTCATCTTCAGGTCTGTCTTTAACACTTTATCTCATGGTGTCCTTTTGTTCTCATCATTTTGGTTTTGATTAATTAAAGTGTGTCTGCCTGTGTGTTTTTGTTGATTCCAAATTAACACCTATAACATGTTTCCTTCTAGCGCACTCAGCAAATTTATATAAGACAGGTATAAAGTGATGAAGGTTTTAGTTGTAATATGTTACATTTATGGACATTTGTGTTTAGTCCCAATCAAAGCCCTGCAGATGCAGCCAAGAGAATGTCTTCACTTTGGATTTCTGCTCATCTTTTTTATTTGTTTATACAGAGGGAGTTGATCAGAGTTGTGGTCATGGTGCACTAGAGTGGTCAGATGACCTCTCGGACCCAAACCTTTGCTCTTTCTTTTCTCTATTTGAATAATGACTGTCCAGCTGCTTTATTAGGTAACTGTATGCACTTCAATGCAAAGCTTCTGCCTCAAAACCTGTTTATGAAGCTCAAAATGTTTCAGTTTTTGGTGAAATTGTCATAAATCTATACATTTGAATATGGTTATTACTGAGGTCATAGCTATAGGTGGTGTTGTACTGGACTACACTATATTTAGACGTGTTACTAATATTCTGACTGTCTCATGTATGTAGCTGGGGAGGACAAAAATAGTGAGACACCTCTATATGTAATGTAGTCCAGTACAACACCATTGTATGAAGTGCATACAATGGTACAGGTGTTCCTAATAAAGTGGCCGGCAGCCGATGTTTTACAGGTGTGTCATTTTGTGCCAGTGAGCTGATTTGTAAATCTTCTGAATTATGTCCAGGTCTTTGTAGCTTTTCAATCTTTATGACCAAATATGAAGATATTATCTTTTATTTTTCTGCACTAAATAAGAATACAGTGGTTCAACAGAAGTGTAATCCTTTGTGTTTTTTATGGGCTCATTTAAATCCCCATCTTCAGTCACTGCTTGTGGTTTTCCAACAGGTGATTCTGAATTGGTATCGTATATGCATTACAACTGATATACAGTAGATTAAGTTCTTTTATGTTTAAAAAAACAAGGGTCTGTTTCTCTATAAGCAGTAGATGATATTAAACTAGAGTCACTGATCTCTGCTCTGTTTACACTGCTCTGCTAGCTATATAACTGTTTGGAGCTTTTGCATTGAAAATCAAAAGCAATGTGTTCTTTTATATATTGAACAGAATAGTGGGTACCAGCCACTTTTGTCAGTTTCAGCTTATTTTAGTATTCGACTTAATCATGGTTTTGCTTTTTTAAGTGGGAATGTACACTTATAGCCACATCTCTAAAAGTATTTGCTTTGAGTTCAAATGTTTATCATTCAATATATGAAGACAACAGGGGACATATAACAAGATTGATTTTGGTTATTTCTTTGTGACAGATGTTACTGTGTATGCAGTTCTCTGTCAGTGCATAGACTAATGAAGATTTCAATTTGTTTCAAATAGAGCATATAAAACATAAGTACCAGAAGGAAATATCCAGAATCAAAGTTCTAAAGTCAAGGTTTTAACCCCCATTGTGTGCTACTATAACCTAACTAGACACCAGACATAACAGAAAAAAAAATAAAAAGCTCAAAAATATACAGCATAAAATAACGGCCAAGGGGTCAGCAAGACTTCAGGTTACAACTAGGACCAATATTAACCCAAATGCCTACCCATACCCTTAACCCCAAACCTTACTGTAAATCTCCCAAGATTAACAACTTCTAATACTGGGAATGTCCCGAGTTTCTTATAGGCCCCATTTCCCTCACCTGTGTCTTTTCCTTCTGTCTTAGTCCTGCCCACGTAAGATGCAAGGAAAAAATGTGAGCAGAGAGGAAATGAGGAAGCACATTCGGAAAGATGTAAGACGTCCTCTCCTCTGATTCTTCATCAAAAGGGTCAAGTCATCAACTGATTTCTGATAAAGGGGTGTGTTGTCCATAAAAGACTTCCTCAAAGGATGGCCTTGTGTATCGCTCTTGGCTCCTTCAGCAGCCTCCTTGATCATCAGAGCTGATGTAAGAGACTTGGAATGACTTCCGGATCAAGCAAGGACGAAAGTGTGATTATATAAGTGGAGAAAAAATCTTATCACAGTATTTTTTTTTGCATATTGGTCAACATCAATATATATCACAACATAAATCTATGTAGTTAATTTCTCTCAAGGTTAAAGGTTCCTTTTTACTCACATGAAATGTTAATTTAACTTTAAATATTTATTTTCGGTCAGAAATTGAACATGATGCAGCAGAAGTTACTGGGACAACTTCACCTACTGTCAAAACAAACTGGAAAGCAAAAGGTCTGGCAACACTTGCAGTGTTCTGAGCAACTTTAATGCCAAGATAAAAGACCAACGTGATCCGTCAGTCCATTGACGATTCACAACAAGGAGTGCCATAAATAGAGCAAGTATTAAAAAAATCTTTTAAAGCCATCCAGTCACATACAAACCCACACATGTTGGCCAATAAAAAACATACACATAAGTAAGTATCTGGTCAGTATATGGCCATTTGGTTTATAGGCCAATCACATCCAAGGGTCACATTGACAAATCTCACATGTGGCGTCGCCTGTGTCAATTATTAGACACACCTGTTGCCCCATTTGTCAGTTTGGCCTATAACCACATGACCAGCTACTGTTGTACAGTAAAGCCTGTAGTTATAAACAAAGAGTCACAAAACATTAGCTTGTGTCCAGCTGCAGGATTTATTCTGCTGTGCTTGTCTCAGGGGTTTTAGGTTCCTCTCACCATGCACCACCTAGTGGCCTGTTTGAAATATTGCCCTGACAGCATCAGTATCACAGCAGAACACAAACACCAGGAGCTCTTTTCAACAGGACTTTGATCCTTATTCTAGTTTATGAACACTATTGTAGTCCACATATCAAATACAAGTCCTTGCATGTTATCTCTTCTCTGACTTTTTTTTTTTTTTACCCTTTTACACTCTCCCCTGCTTCTTTGAATATCTCCTGACATTTGTCAATATACTGAAGGATGTGGAAAAGTCTGTGGCACCTTAGTATGTTTGTGTGAAGCAATTATAGCAGTAAGGGTGTGGGAAGTAAGGGATGGGCCAACACTAGGAAGATGTGGGAGATGGTGGCTTGACAGAACTGAGTTCACCCCAGCATTCCGCTGCTGATAAGATGGCTGTCCCAGCATGTTATAGGTGAACATCTCTCTCAGCTTTGCTTTCTGCTGAGGTCTTTTGACTGTCTTCTGTCTCCACACGATTTCTGTTCTCTGCTACCCGGTCCTCGTGTATGCTCTCCCATGCCTCTTCCTCCACTTGATGTTCATCCTGTAGCATGGGATCTGGCCATGTGAGTTATAATGTTAAGTGTCCTCATCAAAGCTGTTGGTGTTGTGTTTAGAAGTGTCCTTTCTAGTCTGTCTCGCTGTTTTGTGCTTTTTCTGTCTTTTCTGACCTGGTGAAGGAAGTGCTTCTTCCAGGTGACATTTCATTCACTTGCTGGAGGAGGTTCCTGTGGAACACATGCAGTGTTTTAGGACCCCTCTCTGGTTACACTCATGCACTCTCTCCACAACACAGTATACTACCTGCTCCCAGTAAGCTCACAGCTGGCGAGGCCCACCTCTCTCTGACAGGTTTTTCACCAGCACTCGATCACTGGGCTGAAAGACACCACCCCTCACAGCTCGGTCATACTGCTTCTTGCCCTTAGCTGAAGATTTCTCACTGTTGTCTGCTGCAATCTCATATGATGCGCACCCTCTTTGCCCATTTCTGTGAGTATGCATGTCCAGTGTGGTGCACACAATGGGCCTCATTAACTAATATGCACGTAGAAGTGTCCTTAGTTTGCAGACAAAATAAGTGTGCCCACAAAATCTGTCACATTTATGGCATGTGCATACTGGCCAGTTTTGTTCCTACCAACTTACGTATGTATGATAGTAAATCAGAATCATTCTAAGATGACAGGTATGTGCCTGTTTTGCATAATTATCATACTACACACTCTCATTTCTCTATGTAAGGAGATAGTTTGCCTAGCGGTCTCTCATTGGAGAATGTGGACATGGCAGGACTTGAACCTGAGAAGGCATTAGGTGAGAGCGGTGTGTCCATTCCAGGGAATTGCATAACTGATTTGCTGCAGCTATGTCGGGAACCTGTTGAGATAACTGCATAAATATGGTCAATGCATCAGCACTTACTTCTACTATTCATAAGTGAAGCCAAAATATCATGAATACAACAGTTCCCATCTTGGCATTTTTCAAGCAGATTCTGCGCAGTAGGGACAGTAGTTGAGTGATGAATCAGGACGCCAATCAAGCTGTTTTCAGTTTTCAAAGTATGTGATGGTCCATTTTACTTTGAACAATGCCCCAAACCACTGAAGGTATATACTGTCTGGTCTGGTCTGTGGACTCTAGGAACCAAAGGTAAACCTGCACTCTGAGAGCGAAGTGCTCTGTTAGGATGATAAGGCTCTACAAGGTCTTTAAGATACGATGGAGCCTTGTCATTAAGGGCTTTCTATGTTAGGAGAAGGATTTTAAATTCTATGTTGAACTTTACAGGGAGCCAGTTGAGAGAAGCTAATATGGGAGAGATATGATCTCTCTTGCTAGTTCCTGTCAGTACTCTGGCTGCAGCATTTTGGATTAACTGGAGGCTTTTTAGGGAATTATTGGGACATCCTGATAGTAAAGAGTTACAGTAGTCCAGCCTGGAAGTAACAAATGCATGGACCAGGTTTTCAGCATCACTTTGAGACAGGATGCTCCTGATTTTTGCAATATTGCGCAGGTGAAAGAAGGCAGATCTAGA